TACAGTCTCACCACCATTGCACCTTCCCACCACCATTATTTTGAATTTTCCTGCCACCACTTAATCCTGCCAAAAAGGCAGATGCTAGATCACTTGACATCCCGTTTCTCATCGATCCGCTCAAGCGGGCACTAGCTGCGTCTCCATTTTTCCCTGTCACGTGCTAGTGTAGCCCAGTGGCGTCTGCTCACTCCAGGAACATGAAGAGCCTCAAACCGATCATTCAGGGTCTTGACGAAGAAGTCTGACCATCTCGTAGATGGGCGGCCACGTGATCATTTGACATCCCATGGAATCCAGTCGGTAATGACTCTAGTCCAGTGGTCATCTTAAAATCTCATTACATGTCCAGCCCATCTGATTTTCGACACCGTGGCAAAGGAGACAGCGTCCCCGATTCTTTATCATCGACGGAGGTCAGAACTCCAGATTCTTTCTCTCATTTCATTTGAGTGAAGCGTGATTCTCCAAGCATAGCTCTTTTGATTCCTTTTTGGGAGATCCAAATAGCGTTCTCATCCTGTTTTCATAGGGCCCAGGTGTCAGAGGCGTATGTTAATGAAGGAAGAACGGTGGAATCAAAGAGATGTGCCCGGAGCCAGAGGTTCTTCGTCTTCTTAGCTATTTCTTCAACACTCTTGAAGGGTTCCAAGCCTCTCTTCCTCCTGCGCAATTCAGGTGCCAGGTCATTCGTCATGTTGACTTCTCGACCTAGGTACACATAACTGTTGCATTCGGAGATGGTCATTCCTTTGAGAGTGAATGGAACGTCAGGAACGAGATTGTTTCTCATAAACATTATCTTCGTGAGATTCAGCTGTAGTCTGACCTTTTCACGCTCATGGTCAAAGTCGGCCAGCATTTGTGCCGCTTGGCTAATGCTAGATCACGATCATCCTGTTGTTAGTCGATTGCCTCGAGCAGGCACCAGTAACGTCTCCTTCTTCCTAGCCCTGAGATTTTAAAAGAGCCATATTCAGTGCTCTATCAGGGTTAGGAGAATGAGACCCATCATTGTTACTGGTATTTGGCATATTGAGTACGACACAGGAAATTTGCCAAATGCTAGATATTTTATTTTATATTGCATGTTATGAATAATGTAAGATGTCAAGTGGCTGCCAAAGTGGCTGTGCACTCCTGGGATTCTAAAATTTTAGATAATTAGGGTTTGAAGAAATCTGCAGCATGCTGCTTGGTTCCAAGATTCTTTTGTGCGTCGGGATCGTGGCTGTTAAGGAGCTTAAATGGCATCCAGAGGCAGTTTGTAGGCGTGACCTCGAGGGTCCCCTGGGGACAGGGCTAGAATAAGAAGGGCCAGCCCATCCCATATCCCTCGAGACCTGGAATTTGCCGTCGCTTCTCTCATTGGGTTCTGGAAGTTGGCAGCCACCAGGGTTCTTAGGGGGCAGGTGGAGGGACGAAGCCCACTCCCGCCTGAGGCACCCTGGTGAAATCAGCTTGGCATAAGTTCCGGAAGCATCTCTGCAGCAAGTTGCTCGGTTCCGAGATTCTTTTGTCTTTCTCTACAGTTCATTTTTAATGTAACATTTGCAAGTATTTCCTTAATGGAAAGACTAATTTAGGAAATCTCCCTGTCAATACTTTTCGATTCTGTGGTATTAGCTGTTATTAAGTGATGTATTTCTTTTGTGTATTTACACATGGGGTTACCTAATCCATGTTTCTGTTAGAATAATCATATGGATTTGCATTAAGTTGATCATCCCAATGCCAGAGAGATAGTTCAGAGGGTTATAGTGCTTGCTTTGCATTTGGAAGGCCCAGACTTGATCCCCAGCACATCGTCCCCTGAGCACCATTGAGTATCACCTAAAACCAAAAATTTTCATCCTGTACACACGCACACACACATAAAGCCAAAAATTACCCTGTATATATTAATTTTTCAGCTCATTGTTGATTTTCAGTTACTAGTATATCTTAGAATTTTTTTTAAAAATCTCCATAGCAAGACTAACACCCAGGAATGGCTGAGATTAGTACCAGGAATTTTGCTCCATGACTTGGAGGCCAGCCACATGTGCTAGGGGATCTCAGATAGAGAAGAGAGCACCAAATAAAGGGTGTTGTGAGGATCCTCCCAGGGTGGGAGAAGCATGCTGAAAGTAGACTATAGACCAAACCTGACTGCCACTCAGTGCCTCTCTTGCAAAACACAGTACCCAAAAGAAGAGAGAGAGAACAAGGGGGAATGCCCTGCCACAGAGGCAGGGTGGGATGGGGGGGAAGAGGGGGTGGGGGGAATGCTGGGACCCGTGGTGGTGGAGGATGGGCACTGGTGGAGGAATGGGTACTTGATCATTGTATAACTGAAACCCAAGCACAAAAATTTATAAGTCTATAACTGTACCTCATGTATAAAAAAATAAAATAAAATAAAAATCTCCATAGCATTCTATGGTACATGTATATACTACTGTTAATATTATTATTATTTTATATATAGTATGTGCTATTTATAGTTTTCTAGAATGAGCATTGAGATAGTTTACCACTTTATTATAAACCTTGCTGAATTGATGATAATTTTTACAAAGCCTTTTTTTGGTGTATTTGCACCTATATGCTTTTCTGGTAGAATGTGTGATGCTTTTATATTTTAATAATCCTGCCAAGCAAATTACCTGTCATTGCAGAAGCGTGTGGTTTTTTTTATTCCATTACTGGAGATACTGAGCTTATTTTATTAAAATTTTATGAATTTTTCTCATAGGTTTAATCTTACTGATTTACTGACAAGTTCTTTACACATTCTCAGACTTACATTTTCTTCTTTTGACTTGTTAAAATTTTCTCCCCATGTTTAATTTTATTTAGTATGCCTTTTTAAATTCACAAATTATAAATTGCTTAATAAAAATTTTAGCTTTTTTTTTAAAATTTTGCAATATCTCTTGTTTAAGAAAGCTTTCCTGGGGCCAGAGAGGTAATTCAAGGAGTGGGCTGCTTGCCTTGCATGCAGTTACTTCAGTTAATATTGGTTCAATGTACTGCTTACACAGAGCACTCCCAGAGTGCACTGAGCGCCCGGGAGTATGCCCCAAATCTTCCACCCCACGATAAAGATGAAAACCTTTCCTGCTCCAATCATAAACATACTCTCCTGCCACTTACACTATTCTTATATTTGTATGTAATATTTATTTCTGTTAAAATAAGTGAAGAATATATATTTGAGTAGCTACTTATCTCAGGTGCATTTATCGAGCAGTTCTCTTAGAACCACTTTGAAAGGTTAATTGTATTAATATTGTGTACTTTATGAAACCATCTTTCAGAATCTTGTTTTAATAATTTTTCTATTCACCAAAATCATACTATTTTATAATTACAGCTTTCTCCTCCCTCTTTATTTAAACATCGTGGTTTACAAAGTTGTTCATAATGGTTTGTTTCAAGCATTCAATATTCCAACACCAATCCCTCATGCCTGAGTTGAGGTCCAGCCAGACACACAGCAGCAGCTTTGGGGTGTTGGAGCAGCTGCCAGAGCTTTTTGTTAGGGCGGGAGCTTGCCTGGGCCCCTAGGAGATTGCCCCAGAGGTCTCAGCTGGGAATGAGTGTCTGAGAAATGGACTTTTATAATGTGTTATGATACATAGTAAATGAATTTTTTGGTTTGGTTTAGGGTTCACACCTTGCAGTGTTCCAGGCTTACTCTTGGCTCTGTTCTCCAGAACTCAGGGATCAGTTCTGGCAGAGCTCAAGGCTCCATATATGGTGCCCACATTCAAACTTGGGGTGACTGCATGCAAGACAAACTCCTTAGCCCTTTTGTATGTCTCTGGTTCTCACGTAAATCTTGTAGTTAACTTGACCTGTTTCATAAAAGATACCTCATTCTTTTCAGTGGAATTGTATTACATTACAGATTAATTTGTATAGATTGACTTTTTTCATAGAGAAAAAATATTTCTTGACTTTGTCATTTTTCTCTTCTGTAGCTTTTTATTTTGAAATACATTAAGCGTTAAGGTACAGAAATGGAGTATGAATGCACACACTTAATGCCCAGCATCAGACTTTATTAGATCTACTATAATAACATACATTGTTTGAATGTTGTATTATGCTTTTCGGGCCGGAGTGATAGCATAGCGGGTAGGGTGTTTGTTTTGCAGGAGGCTGACCTGGGTTCAATTTCTCTGCCGCTCTCGGAGAGCTCAGCAAGCTACCGAGAGTATTCTGCCTGCCCAGCAAAGCCTGGCAAGCTACCCGTGACATATTAGGTATGCCAAAAACAGTAACAACAGGTCTCACAATAGAGATGTTACTGGTGCCCGCTCAAGCAAATCGATGAACAACGGGAGGACAGTGCTACAGTGCATTATGCAATTCAGTAAGACATGGAATTCAGTAATGGAATATTCAGTAATGGAATATTCAGTATTGGAATATTCAGTAATGGAATATTCAGTAAGAAATGGAGAGTACCATTTCCCTGACTTCTTTTCTTCCCTTTATTCTCATGATATTGCAGCAGTCTTCATATTGTGAAGAGAAAGTGAATTTATTTTGGTAAATTTATTTTGGTTTAAAAGATATTTCTCCACGATTATTCTTCTCCCAAGTGCTTCACAGTCATTTCCAAACTGACCAGTTCCCAGAGAGGTGGTTGTGTCATTGTATTTTAGCCTTGTCCACAACATACTAGCGGTTCTTGTATTGTATCCTGTCCGGGGGCGTCTTTCACATCATCTTATGTAGCACACTGCATACAGAGAATGGTAGGGTGTTTACTGCTTTGTATTCTTAACTGACATTATGGATTAGCAAGTGACTCGAAAATAATCACTGCTCAAGAAACCGGTCAGTTTGGTAAATACCCTTTTACATGTACAGAGTGGTAGGTCATTGTTCATTATATACTAAGAGTTAATATTGCTCTTTAATGGAGAACAAAATATGTGTGAGTGTGTGTGTTTTTTTTTAAAAATTGGTCAACTTAAGATCTTGGTTCTGTTTTAACTTCTCAGGTACTAATATGAGTGATGAGGACTTCCTTTTGCTGGAACTTTTGCACTGGTTTAAGGAAGAGTTTTTTCACTGGGTGAATGAAATTTTGTGTACTAAGTGTGGTGGCCAGACTAAGTCTAGAGGTGCATCATTATCCCCCAATGATGATGAGCTGAAGTGGGGTGCAAACAGAGTAGAAGACCATTACTGTGACACATGCCACTTAAGCAACCGTTTCCCAAGGTGAGTATTCACTGAACAATATAGTTCAAATAATCTCTTAAAAGGATAGAGAATTTTTATTACCTGCACTTTTTCTTTTCAATTTAATTCTTAGAAATACATTCCTCTAGGAATGTATTAGTACTGTAATTAGTAATGTATTAGTAAGCTACGACTGGCAGGCTAAATGTAACCTGGATTATCTTGCTCTGTGTGTGTGTGTGTGTGTGTGTGTGTGTGTGTGTGTGTGTGTGTGTGTAATCTTTATTTGGCAAAGCAGCACTACATAAAATAACTGTTTAGGAACTAGGAAAAAGCTTACACAGCATGTTAAAAGCTATATACAGTATCAGCAGCAAATTTGAAACAGGAGAAAAATTAATACTGCGCTTCAAGTGTCTACAGTGCCTCAACAAAGGAAGAATGGTGTCAGTTCTGTCCATTTGAACGGCTGAGGGTTTTAAAGGACATCGCCTGCCATTTTAAGATTTAATATTTACAAATGCTTTGTTTTAAGGTCACAGAGAAGTTGATATTATCCACAGCATGCTATCCTATGATACCACATCAAAAGCTTTGAAAAGAAAGCTCATGTTTATTTCCTTAGTGCATCTGTAGACATCCAAGTCCAAGAGTCTGAACTTGTGAATAGTGGTGTTAGATGATGTGAACATAATCTGATTAAGCTCATATGAGAACAACTAAGTGTCTTAAGAAAAGTAAAGCCTCTCCTCAAAAGCAGTTCACAAGCCTGTTTGTTTTGCAGAACCCCTTGACATCCTAAACTAAAATATGGGCATGATAAATAATACACAAATCTATGTTTTGCCTCCTTCTACCAATGTGAATAATTAGAAATTACAAACCACACATTTCATGCTGAAAATAATATGTAATGACGTCCAAAGCTGTGATGCTGTTGGTTTTCAGATAAGCAACCCACTATAATAGATACTGGTCAAGCTGATTTGGGAAATATGTGAAATATGTGAAGGTTTTTGTAAATTATAATTAGATCATGCTCATAAGGTCTAGGTAGTTGGATATAAACTGATCATGCAAATGGGAACAGACACAGAACAAAAACATTTATACAGAGCATTACTCTTTTATTTATTTATTTATTTATTTATTTATTATTTTTTTATTAGTGAGACATTATGAGGTACAGTTATAGACTTGCAAATTTTTGTGCTTGGGTTTCAATTATATAGTGATCAAACACCCATCCCTCCACCAGTGCCCATTTCCCACCTCCACGGATCCCAGTATCCCTCCCACCCCCCGTCCCCCCCACCCCCCCCCATTCTACCCCGCCTCTGTGGCAGGGCATTCCCTTTTGTTCTCTCTCTCTTATTGGGTGTTGTGGTTTGCAAACTCTCTGTTTTACCCTCTGTTTTACTGTAGATTAGCTATTCTCTGTTTAGCTATTCTCCCAAGTAGAGAACCAAAGTGTCTATAAGCATATACAACTGGCAGAAGCAGTATAGAGAAGGTAAAGGCTTGTGATGCTTTAATTCTGCTACTTTTACGTATGTTTACAAGTTGATAAAATTAATTGCCTGAATTGAATTTTATTTAGTTTCAGCAAGAGCATCTGCTTAGAGAAATTAGACCTTGCAGAGCTTATTCATGCCACTGTCTTCTTTCCTTCCACGTTCATGGCTGCCGTCACTGCACTTCTTCTACTTCGCTTGGTTTGCTCAGGATCCCCCACCACACACTAATGCAAACTTTTATGCCCTTCATTTTAATGAAAATTCTGTAAATTCAGTGATTGTTTCAAAGCACCTCAAAAACAATAAATTAGCCTAGCTTCTTTAAGTACTTAAGAAGAGTAAAATTTCAAAATAGCCATTGGAAAGAAAAATAAAGTAAGACTTAGTTCAATTAAGCTACAACATTTTATCCTTTTGTAAAAGTTATTGACCGTTCAAGTATCATGAGTATATACTTTTAGTGTACTGCTAATTGGTAAAGCAAAGTTATCAAAGATTCTCTGCCTTTCTAAATCCTGTCTTTGAAGGTTCTCTTTCCCAGCTACCCTCTCAGACACTAAAGCGCTGACCTGTTGTATGGTTTGTATCACCTTCTACCATATTTAAACTTACTGGTGTCAGTTCTTTCTTTCCCGTAGGCCTATAAACTCAGTAAGGGCTGTACCACTGATTTAATCATTTTTCACCAAAGAATTCTAGTACAGGGCCTCATACATTCTAAACTCTTGAGTCAGTAGTTAAGAACATGAAAATAAGATAGGCTTTATTGTTGAGCCCAGAAATAACACAATAGCTTCTCTAAAATTCTTGATTTTGCTAATGAAACAATTGTGGTTTTGTTGTCATTTTAAACCAGGTATAATAACCCAGAGAAACTTCTGGAAACAAGATGTGGGCGATGTGGCGAGTGGGCCAATTGTTTTACACTGTGCTGCCGGGCCTTAGGATTTGAAGCTCGCTATGTTTGGGATTACACAGGTACAGAAAGTGGTTTGAGCAGAAAGCACTTTGTAGATGTGAGGATTTTGGTTTACAGTCAAAGCTTTTTATTTTCTTGCCAGATTGTGCGTCCTTTTGCCTTCTGAAAAATTACACAAGTCTCACATTTTTCTGTGTAGGAATTGCAAGGTATTTGTAATGCACATAACACTTTGCCTCTACTGTGGTCTATAAATACTCTTTTGTAAGTTACCATGATATTTTTAGTAATACTATTTTTGTATGGTGTGTAATAATATGCTATAGAAATCTTGTATTTTTGTAGGGATTTGCATAAAAGATTTCATAATCTTAAATCTATTGAAATAAAAATAAAGTAAGGGCCACATGAAATTTATATTACAATTTCAGAAATTGCTCATCTCTCATCTAAGTTCTTCTTAGTTCTTAGGGAGTTACTTGTGTTTTCTTTTTGTTTTTGATTTTTTTTTTCAAGATAAATTGAAACCTTCACTCAGTAGTGACTACTATTTTATAATTGAACATAGGACATTATTTAACCAGAACTCCTCTCTTAAACTTCCTATTTCTGGGTCTGAAAGGTTGAGAGGTGACAGTTTAAAAAAAATGGCATTAACCCCTTCCCATTACCAAATGCATCTTTGTTTTTGATGCTTGAATTCTTACATTTTACAGTTTACATTATTTCTAAATAAAAAAAATTGCCTTAAAGATATCTTGGAATCATTTTCAAGAATAATATAGTGTGTTCTATTAGTCCTAGGAGTTTGTTTACAGATGTTGGATGTGATTTTGCTGTTATAAACTTAACTCTGGTTTGCTTTTGCTTTCTTGTCTCTCACATGTGTAGACCATGTCTGGACAGAAGTATACTCCCCCTCTCAGCAGCGGTGGCTGCACTGTGACTCGTGTGAGGATGTCTGTGACAAACCACTCCTGTATGAAATAGGATGGGGCAAGAAGCTTTCCTATGTCATCGCTTTTTCTAAAGATGAGGTAGGGCAACAAAGAAAAAAAAATGAGATAAACTATGTTTTTTTTTTTTTAATTTTTATTGTTGAAACACCAGGAGGTACAGTTGTAGACTTACAAATTTTTATGCTTGGGTATCGTTTATACAATGATCGAGTACCCATCCCTCCACCAGTGGCCATTCTCCATCACCACTGATCCCAGCATCCCTCCCACCCCCGATCCTCCATCCCACACTGCCTCTGTGGCAGGGCATTCCCTTTTGTTTAAATGGAGCCAGTAGAGCCATTCCAGTCTTCTTTGCTTATTCTTGAAGCTTTGGAGTGGGCCAGACTACAATTGTTTTGAGGTGCCATCAAGTAAATAGTTGTTTGAGAAAGTAGCAGAAAAATTGACCACCCGATCAGAAGGATTGGTGATTAGGGACATTTTGTGTAATGGGGAAATCAGTAAAAACTCATATATTATCAAGAGTAGCTTAATCCTGTCAACATAAATGAACATTTTTAAGAGAAAGAAATTAGTTTTGTTATTAAATTAGTATTAAACCATTATGTAGTGTGTATCTAGTATTTTTTCTTCACTGAACTTGTAATCCACATCTCTGTACATTCTTCCATGTATAATATTTTTTTAAAATTTTTATTAGTGAAACACCATGATGTACACTTGTAGACTTACAATTTTTTGTGCTTGGGTTTCAGTTATACGATGATCGAGTACCCATCCTTCCACCAGCGCCCATTCTCCACCACCATTAATCCCAGTATCCCTCTCACCCCCCGTATCCCCATCCCACCCTGCCTCTGTGGCCAGGCATTCTCTTTGTTCTCTCTCTCCTTTTGGGCGCTTGGTTTGCAAAAGAGGCATTGAGTGGCAGTCATGTTCAGTCTATAGTGTACTTTCAGCATGCATCTCCCATCCTGGGCGGATCTTCCCAACCCCCTTTATTTAGTGTTCCCTTCTCTTATCTGAGCTGCCTTTACCCCTAGCATGTACGGCTGGCCTCCAAGCCATAGAGTTAACCTCCTGGTACTTATCTCAGCTATTCTTCGGTGTTAGTCTTCTATTTTGTTACTTTATGTTCCCCAGATGAATGCAGTCTTTCTATGTCTATCCCTCTCTTTCTGACTCATTTCACTTAGCATGATACTTTCCATGTAGTACCACTTGTATGTAAATTTCATGACTTCATTTTTTCTAACAGCTGTACCACAGTTTCTTTAACCAGTCATCTGTTCTCGAGCATTCAGGTTTTTTCCAGATTCTAGCTGTTGTAAACAGTGCTGCAATGAGCAATGAGCAAACAATGTGCTGCAGATGTCACTTCAACTATACTTTTTTGCCTCTCTGGGATATATTCCCAGGAGTGGTATTGCTGGATTGTGGTCTGAAAAAGATTGTTGATACTATTTCTGTCTTCCTGATTCTATTGAGGTATGTTTTGTGTCCCAGCACATGGTCTATTTTGGAAAATGTCCGTGCACATTGGAGAAGGATGTGTATTCTTTCTTTTTGGGGTGTAAAGCCCTGTGTAGGTATATAAGCCCTTTCTCTTCTATTTCTTCTTTCAAAGCCAATGTTTCCTTGCTGTGTTTTGTTCTTGTTGATCTATCGAGAGGTAATAAGGCAATGTTGAAATCTCCAGCTACTATTGTATTGCTAGCAATGTCCTCCTTAAAATCTGTTAGCAGTTGTTTTAAATATTTAGCTGTTCCCTCATTAAGTGCGTATACATTTAAGAGTGTGATTTCTTCCTGTTGTACGTATCCCTTTATGAAGAGAAAATAGCCTTCGCTGTTCCTTGTAATCTTTTTCTACCTGAAAATAATGTTGGATACGAGTATGGCCACCCCAGCTTTTTTGAGGGAGCTGTTTGCTTGCAGGATTGTTTTCCATCCTTTGACTTTGAATCTGTGTTTGCTCTGGCTGTTGAACTGGGTTTCTTATAGGCAGCAGAATGTTGGGTTCTGTCTCTGAATCAATTTTGCCACTCTGTGTCTCTTAATTGGTGAATTTAGACCATTGACGTTGAGAGAGATTATTATTATGGGGTTTTGTGTTATCTTTTTGTAGGGGTCTGTAGTGCTTGTAGGGTTTGTCTTGTCTTATAGTAGCCCCTTTAGCCCTTGTTTTAGGTTTGGTTTTGAGTCTATGAAATTTCTGAGCTGCTGTTTATCTAGAAAATAGTGTACCGTTCCTTCGAGTTTCAGTGAGAGTTTATCCAGATAGAGTATTCTTGGTGAAGCATTTATTTCAGTGAGTTTTTTTTGCTATATCCCACCTTTGCCTTCGGGCTTATAGGGTTTCCTCTGATAGGTCTGCTGTGAATCTAAGGGGTGCTCCTTTGTATGTGATTTCCTTCTTTGACCTTGTTGCTTACACAATTGTGTCTGTATCGGCAACATCAATCATTCTAACTATGATAGTCTTGGAAATGTTTTAGTTAGGGTCTCTTTTAGCTGGCACCCTTTGGGCTTCTTGAATCTGAGTGGCTGCATTGTCGAGCTCTGGGGATTTTTCAGCAATGATTTGTTTAACTATGGCTTTTTCATTGGGATTGTTTCCCTGAGCTTCTGGTAGTCCAATGATTCTAATATTGTTCTTCTTGGAATCATCTCCTGGGACTCTGATTCACTCTAGAGCTCTTTTGAGGTCTCTTGCCATTGTTTGTTGTTTCCTGTTGGCTTGGTGCAGCTCATCTTCCAGCTCACTGATTCTATCTTCAGCTGTGGTCATTCTACTGTTGAGGGCACAGACTGAGTTTTTTATTTCATTTACAGAAACTTTAATTCGTGACATTCTTTGAGTAGCTTTCCAACTTCTGCTCTCATTTCTTCGTGGATTTTCTCGATTGTCCAATCCATTGTATCTTTCATGTCCTCCTTGAATTTACTGGATATCTGTCTGTTTCATTGAGTTCGTTGAACATCTTCATGACTTCATATCTGAATTCTTTGTCAGAGAGGTCCCTGAGGGGAGTAGCACCTACTGAAGCTTCTGGACTCTTTTCATCATCCTCCCCACGTGGTGAGGATTTGCATTGTTTCTTCATGTTGATGTGTGGGTATTGGAACTGTGATGTTACACTAGATGACTAAACTACTTGCGGCCGCCTAAAATTAGGCCATGCCCACTTCTCCTAAAGCCACGCCCACTTCTGAAGAGGCCATGCCCCCACGGGAACCTGGTGTGTGTTGGGGGGGCTAAAGGCTGGGTGGGGAAGAAGATGAGCACAGCGTTGGGGACGAAGAGGAAGAGTCAGAGGCTCAGGGCTGCTTTTGGGCCAGGGTCCTAGAGGACGCCTGGGGCACTTGCACAGAGAAAACCAAGTCCTGGGTTCGAATACTGGCGGATAAACTGACCTAGGTGGGGAAGAAGACCGGCACAGCTTGGGGGACGAAGAGGAAGAGAAGGAGGCTCGATAAACTATGTTTTTCACAGCTTTTTGAGACACAGTTGTCACATAATAAGTATCATACTTTTCAGGAATATAATTTTAAAATGTTGTCATCTGTATCACCCATAAAATCCACTTTATTGACAATAATGGAGGTATCCACTAGCAGAGGAGAATATTTATATCCCTTAGTTATTCTCCCCTTGTTACCCTGCTCCAGGCAACTCCCTGTCACTGTAGACTAATCTGCATTCCTAAAGTTTTATATAAATGTAATCATGCTGTATGTACTCTAGTGGTCTGGACTTTTTTAGCATAATTTTGAAATTCATTCGCATGTATATATGTATACATATCAGTATTTTATGTTTGCAGCTTAGTAGGATACCATTGCATACACCAATATCTGTCTGTTCACTCGTAGATGCGCCACACCTCATTTGAATATTTTCCAGTTTTATTGAGGTTTGGCAGGTTTTTTGGGGGGGATTTTTTGGTTGGTTTTTGTTCATTTGTTATTTTTTTTTTTTTTTTGCCATTTCATTTTTTTTTTTTTCTTTTGGGGGGAAGGGGCACACCTAGCAGTTCTCAGGGCATACTCCTGGCTCTGCACTCAGGGATCACTCCTGGCTGGCTTGGGGATCACACAAGATGCCAGGGATTGAACCTGGGTTATACATGCAAGGCAAGCGCCCTACCTGTATCACCGTGGACCCCTGTTTTTTTGCTATTTCAAAGAAGCTGCTGTAAATATTCAAGTATAAAAAAAGCATCTCATTTCTCTTTGGTGAATTCCAAGAATGTTGTATCAAATGTTGGATTTATGTTTAAACATTTTTTCTTTTTCTCTGAAGCAAGGTTTTTTTTTTCATTGAAACTTTAGAAAAATGTGAGAGGAGAGAGAGGGACTGGAAATAAGCAAGTGAAGAAGCGTAGAGACAAGCAAGATAACGTGCCAAAGGAAGAACACAGGCTTGAAGAGCAAGCCTGTGTAACTTTAAGAATTGACAATTTTTCAAAGGAATTGTGCCATTTTTTTCCAGTAGTTTGTCGAGAGTGCCCAGTTTATCCCTGTCCTTGTAGCACTAGTATTGTCTGACTCTTTAATACTTGAACTTTAATAGATGTATAGTAGTATCTCATCGTGCACTTTCCTAACGACAAATAATACTGAGCATCTTATGTGCTTATGTAAATCTTTTTGCCTGCATTTTTTTCTGCTGTTGATATTTGAGAGTTCTCTATTTTAAATACAAATATTTTATCAAAATATTTCTTAACTCTTGCTTTGCAAAGATTTTTCCCAGTTTGTACCTTGTTTTTAATTTTTGAAGACTTTTGAAGAGAAGAAATTGATGTAGTCTAGTTTATCAACTTGTTCTTTCATGCAGTGTATTTTTTTATGTAGCTGAGACATTTTGCATAGACCAAGCCAAAGTAATTTTATCTGATGTGCTTTTATACTTTTTCGTTTGGTTGTTTGTTTTTTGGCAGTGCTCTGGGTTGACTCCTGGCCTTGTGCTCAGAAATCACAATGCTCAGGAGACTATGTGGGGTTCAGGGAATTGAACCTGGGTTAATCACATGCAAGGCAAGTGCTTTACCCACTGTACTATTTCTCTGGCCCCAGAAGTTTTATTCTTTTACAGTCTGTCTGTAATTCATTTTGAGCTTATTTTTATATGTATATATAATCTCAAGTTGCAGTTGAAATTCATACTTGTACATATTGGATGAGAAATGTTCTAGTACAATTTGTAGAAAAGATTTTTCTTTCTCTGTTGAATTTTCTTTGCACCTTTGTCCAAAAAAAAAAAAAGTCAGTTCTACAATATATATGAGGGGTTTTTAATTGATTTTTGGGAAATCAGCTTGTCTATGAGAGTTTTTTTTTCCTATTTTTTAAATTGAATTACAATGAGATACACAGTGAGGTACAAGGTTGTGCATGATTGGGTTTCAGTTATGTAATGTTCCAACCTCCATCCCTTCACCAGTGTATATTTCCCATCGGTAGTGTCCCCAGTTTTCTCTACCTCCACCCTCCGGGCACTTTTCTCTCTCTCTCTCTCTCTCTCTCTCTCTCTCTCTCTCTCTCTCTCTCTCTCTATCTCTCTCATATTTTCTGTCTATGAGGATTTTTTTTGGTTTTGATTTTTTTTTTTTTTTGCTTTCTTGGTCACACCCTTAGATGCTCACACCCTGGCTGCTCTGCACTCAAGAATCACCCCTGGTGGCACTAGGGGACCATATGAGATGCCGGGGATCAAACCTGGATCAGCCTCGTGCAAGGCAAATGCCCTATCCGCTGTCCTATCACTCTGACCCTGCCAATGAGTTTTTAAAATCTAAATTGTTGGAATTTTTTTAATCTTCTTTTGGGGAGTAGGGGAAGGGGCTGTGGTACACCTGGCAGTGCTCAGGTGCTCTCCTGGGCCATTGCCGGTTGGCACTCACACTGCCCAGTCTATGAGGTGTCTTTCTTGGAAGTGTACCTGTTAGAAAATGGATTAGAAACATTATCTTTATTTTTTAAAAGAACGTTTAAACACAGTATGTAACATTTTAAAAAGTTTATAAGGTTATGTACTGTATTCTAGGTAGTTAGCAAATTAAGATTGATAATTATAATCTTGTTAAGTATTTGCTTTTTGTAATTTGAGGTGGTTGATGTCACTTGGCGATATTCTTGTAAACATGAAGAAGTAATCTCCCGAAGAACTGAAATTAAAGAGGATATACTTCGAGAAACTATTAATGGACTTAATCGTCAGGTATGTGTTTGGACTTTTGTCAAATTTGAGAGGCCATTTTAATTTTTCTATGTAAATAAGAATAACCACTTTTAACCCAGTGAAAATATTAGGAAAATACAAAAGTTGTGCCATTGTTTTGCAAATAAAAGAATTTTTTTTCAAATTTTATTAAGATATTTTGATTTTCCATTTCCATTTTTTCTGATAGTTTCATGCAGGCATCATTTCAACACCGTACCCACTGCCAGGGTACTCATTTCCCTCCACAAAGATCATGAAGGACCTTCCACGCTCCCCCACCCCCAAGCTCAGTTCTGTGGACCAGCAGTTCTCGTACCTTTGGCTGTCTGTTGCTTCCTTACTCTGTGTCTTTAAATCTCACATCTGAGAGATGTCGTTCTGTATCTGTCACTTTCCTCCAGCTGACTCGCCCAGCATGATGCCCTCTAGTTCCATCCATGCAGCAGCAAATTACATGATTTTGTCATTTCTTACAGCCGCAGTATATTCCACTGTGTATATGCACCACTGATCCATTTATCTGTAGTTGGACATTTGGGTTGTTTCCATATCTTGGCTACTGTATCAAGCATGGTAATGAACATAAGTTTGCATATATCCTTTCTAATGAATGTTTTTGTGTTTTGTGTGTTATGGATCATATAGGAATTCTATTATATATTATATTACTTGTTTTGCAAAGTCTCTGTTGCTTTTTTGTAGTTGTTGTTAATGTAAGGGTACTGCTGTTTCTTACTGCTTTTCGTAGAGGTTGAACAAGGTACCGTTACCCCAACAGTGAATGGGGTACCTTTCTCACCACAGCCCCGCTAATACTGGCAGTTTGCAGATTCTTTTGATAATGTGCATTCTCACTGGTGTGCGATTGTGTCTCACTGTCATTTTGATTTGCATATCCCTGGTCATTAAATGGCAGCACTTTTTCATATACCTATTGACCTATCTGTTTGTCTTCTTGGAAGTGTCTGTTCATCTCTCCCTGTTTTTGTTTGGGAAACAAAAATAGTTTAATATGTGTCTTTGTTCATTGACCGATGGCAATGTTGATTTAAACATTTTGTTTTTTTTATTTTTCATTAACACATCTCAAAATTAAGAAAACAGAATTTTAATACATGTAATACATATTTAGCATAAAGCCTGTTGTCACAGGGCCAGTGGTGTGATTTTACAGTAAATCATATGCCTTGCCACATGTCATGTCCTGAGTTCTATCCCTGGCAAAAAAATATAAATAAGATTGTGTTGTCTTATTTATCAAAGGTTTGTTTTTTATATAATCACACTTAACTAAGTACAGAAATTTCTGGGTTGGGAGAGAAAGTACAGCGGGTCTGGTGCTTCCCTTGTATGCACCACACCCAGCTTTGGTCCCCAGCACTCCATATGTTCCCCTAAGCTCAGGATGAGCAATCTCAGGGTGCAGAGCCAGGAGTAAACTTGGGCGTTGTTATGTGTGTGCCCCCACCCCCCACCCCACAAACTCCCCCCCAAAAAAATAAATTTCTGAAACAAGACATAGGAAATTCTTAACCTTAACTATTTATGGAAGTATTGGGGTCCTAGGGTTGAGGAGAAAGTAGGGAAAGAGGAAGCGGATACCAAGGAGTGAAGCCAGGGTTTGTGCTTTACCACTTGAGCAACCTCCCTAGTACTTGACTTGGAAATACTTACTATGTACACATGTGGTGCTGGAGCGGTAGCTCAGCGGGTAAGGCATTTGCCTTGCACACGGCCGACATGGCCAACCCGGGTTCGATTCCTCCGCCCCTCTTGGAGAACCCAGCAAGCTACGGAGAGTATCTCGCCCGCACGTCTGGCAAGCTCCCCATGACGTATTCAGTATGCCAAAAACAGTAACAACAATTTGTTGTGAGACGTCACTGTTGCCCGCACAAGCAAATTGATGAAAAACGGGAGGACAGTGCTACAGTGCTATGCATGTGGGGGAGGGTCTTTTCCCATCGTTAAAAAAATCTAGATTTGAGGCTAAAGAGGTATCTCAGGTGGCAGAGCACCTGTCTTACATGTGGGCTCAGTTCCTGCTATTTCTGGCAGTGTGCCCTGGGTTCAATTCCTGCTATTTCATGAAGTGTGCCCTGCCCTGCTCCAGAGTACCACCAGGTATAGCTGTAGTGGCCCCTAAGCACTGAGAGAGTAGCTGTGGTAGATTTTTTGAGCATTGAAAGGAGTTACCATAGTGCATCCAAGTACTGTGGATATAGCATCTAAAAAATATCAATTTGCAGGGCTTGAGAGATAGTGCAGCTGGTAAGGTGCTTGCCTTGTTCATGGCTGACCAGGGTTCAATCCCCGGCATCCCCTAGGGTCACCTAAGCACTACCAGGAGTAGTCCCTGAACGTTACTGGGTGTTACTGGTTCCCCCTCCCCCCCAAAAAAAAATTAATTTGTAGCCAGTCAGTATAAGAGGGGGAAGAGGAATAAGGAACTTGTCTTGCACGTAGGTGATCTTGGTTTTATCTGCAGTATCTTGTTTTGTCCCCCTTAGCAAGCCCAGGTGTGCCCAAGAACACTGTCACTGTCCTCCCGTTGTTCATCGATTTGCTCGACCTGGCCCATTAACATTGTGAGACTTGTTATTGTGTTTGGCATATCGAATACGTCACAGGTAGCTTGCTAGGCTTTGCCATGCGGGCAAGATACTCTCGGTAGCTTGCTGGGCTCTCCGAGAGGGGTGGAGAAATTAAACCCGGGTCAGCCGGGTTGGCCACATGCATGGCAAACGCCCTACTGCTGTGCTATTGCTCCTGCCCAAGAGCACACAGAAAAAAATCTTAATTTGCTTCTGAGGCACAATTAGAATAGGGCATCTAACATTTATTCCATTAATGTTTAAGATTCCTGGTGAGGTTTTAATCTGTTTGGAATTTTGCCTTATTTTTTTTATATGTATCCTTCAGAGAGCCTAATCTGAAGACCTGGTATATTTCTAGAATCCCTCACCTTGGACAACTCTGAATTCCAGTGAATGTACCACTCAGCACTGTGATTATGCTAGAAATTGTATTTTCAGTACCTTGGCTACAGTTCTGTACTTGACTTCTTGACCTTTTGTCTCCTGCGACTCAGTTGACAAGTGTGTGAGGTGGGGCAGGGTGCAGTGTGTTCAGTTCAACTCAACAGTTTCCTTCTTCTGGGATCTTCCATTCTTCAGTTCTGGCTACCATGGTAGCTTTTATTGCATTGAGTGGCTGTTTATATATGTGTGTGTTTGTTTTCCCTCGATTTTCTAGTTTGTTGTTGTCACTGTTGTTTTTGCTTTGGAGATCACACCCAGCAATGTTCTGGGATTACTCCTGGCTCTTTGTTCAGGAATCAGTCCTGGCTGTGCTTGGGGGACCATCAAGAATGCCAGGGATTGAGCCTGCCAGGTACAAGGCAAACACCCTAGCTGCTCTGTTTTTCTAGCTTTTCTTCACAGAAAGTTGGTCTACCACAGTTTGTCTATCACAGACAGGAACGAAGATCCAGCCTCCATGTTTAATCTACCACAGTGAAAGTTCCTAAAAGACTTGGATATGGGTATTAAAGGGTTTATCAACATAAAAATTTGCATTTTCCATGATTTTTTCCCCAGATGATTATATATGTGAAAATACAGTGGTTACTTCTTTGAAGTTCCCCTTAAACTACAAATGTTTTCATTATATTCTTACTTGGGGCTGAACCTCTGTCCACATTCCCCTAATCTTAATGTCATTTGTAAAATTATAAATTACAGAGACAAATATCTTTGTCAGAAAACAGAAGAAAAGAACTCCTTCAGAGGATAATTGTGGAGCTTGTTGAATTTATATCTCCCAAGACCCCTAAACCTGGAGAACTTGGTGGAAGAATATCTGGGTCAGTGGCCTGGAGAGTAGCCCGAGGAGAAATGGGTCTAGAGGTATTTTATCATTACAGTATGATAATTTTCTCACTTTACTGCTTCCTGTTGTGTGTCTTTTCATAGAGAAAATTGTGTTGTTCATGACCTTTCAGTTAAGTTTTTAGAATAATTGCTCAAAATGTCAGTATTTGAAGAGAACCAATAAAATGCTTGTCGTGGTGTATCTGAAAGAACTAGTAAAGCATTTTGAAATGGGATTTTTTTTGTTTGTTTGCTCATTTGTTTTTGTTTAGGGGCCCAACCAACAGTGCTCAGGGATTACTCATTGGCTCTGCACTCAGGGGATCACTCCTGACGAGACTTGAGGTACCATATGGGTACCAGGGATTAAACCTGGGTTAACTGTGTGTAAGGCAAGCACCTTTCCTGCTGTGCTATCGCTCTGGCCCCGTGAAATGGGATTGTTTTACAATCTTACATAAACTATAGTAGAGTATAACTTTTGCTGGAGTAGATGTAGAAAAATGCACTGATCACCAGTGTGAATCTTACCAAATTTTACAAACTAGAATGCTAACAAGCCTAGTGGCATTACAAAATAACCCCAGCTTCCCTTCCAAATATTGTCTTCCACGCCTAAGAGTAGCCATCATGCTGATTTCTAAAAATCCTTTCAATGAAAATAGTCCACCACAAGATCAGTTTTATAGTTCTAAGTTTAAGTTTTATATCTAATTTTTCTAAATTTGACCTTACTGCAACTTTCTTCTCTAGCAGAGGAGTATGTCTAAAGGGGGGCAGAGCATTCCCAGTAAACGTGGTTTCCTTTAAAATGTATCCTATCATCTTTAGCAGGCAGTTGAAAGTGTCAGTTTAGCCACATAGAATTACAAGATCTAAATTCAACAGATAATTCAAATCACTGCTGATGCAATGCAGTTTACAAGTATAAATCTAAATGAAGCCAATTTAAAAGAGCTAATTTAATTCACAGCTGTGTCCAATTTAAAACCGATATTATTTAGGTCTTCATTTCTTTTTCTTTTTATGCATGGTGTGCTTCCTCTTACATGGCATGTACGTTGATTACATTTTTTAAATAATGAATTGGGTCATATACCTAGATTGTTTTCCCTTTTGAAACTGTTTTATAAATTTCTCAGTTACTGCAGATCATATTCAATCCATGGACTTTTAAAAAAAAGCATTTTTATCTATAGATATAGATGTTTATTTCTCAAGTAAATTGAAAAATGTCAGTCCAAAAAAATTATGGGATAGAACTTTGAAGTCATTTAGACAAATAGAACATTGGTTATATCATTTCACAAAGAAAAGTTTAGTCTTAAATTTAAAAGACCATAGTAGACGTTAACTTTAAATTTTTATTTTCATTTCATTTCTTCAGTGCTCTGAAATATATTTAGCAAAGAAGAAATGAATTGAGAATTATTGTTACATGCTTCTTTTAAATGTAGTGTGCTATGCATGACTATACATAACTATAAATAACTACAGAATTTCTAAAAAAATAATAAACTTATTTTTCTTACTGTAACATTTTTGCAGTGCTAGTTCTTTTTCATACATGTAATGACATTCAAAATTCTAACACGTGCACATATTCTCATAACATTTTATCTACCTTAAGATATTTTATTTTCTATTTATTGGCTCTTTGTACATTTTTACATAAAATTTTTACATTAATACCTAGTACCTGATGTTTAACCAAAAAATGCAATACATTGCATATTTTTTGATTGATTACTAAATAGCATGATGGTAACATAAACTAAAATAATGGGTGATTTTTTATAACAGTAGAGATACTTTGATTGTGAAAAACTAGGAAAGGATACCACTGTTATCAGCTCAGGCTTCAGATTTTCCTAATCAACCTATAGTGCACAGGATGACCCTCTACCATGAGGAATTTTTCCAAAACTAAGATTCAAAAATGATTTTGAAATTAAAGCAAAGGGATTTCTTTTTTATTTAAATGCAAGATTTTGCCTGTAGTTTTAAGGTAAAGGATGAGTTTTTTATAGTGATTTTTGTCTGTGTAAGACTATTCAGGATATCTGCTCTAGGAAATCTTCTTGTTTAAAGAATCAGAAAAGGATACTCTGAAGTGGCTTTATATTGAGTGCTAAAAGATGAGAGAGAATCAAGTATATGGAGAGTAAAAGGATAGTGCTCCGGAAAAGAAACACCATGTATCAAGGCCCATTGGCAGGAATGAGGGTTCTTTAGAAAAAGAAAAGGGAAAGTCACATGGTAGAAGGAGCAGAGATAAAAGGAAAGAATAAAGTGAAATCTGATTAGAGAAGATGGAGACAGATCCTAGAGGGTGTTTTTAGCTTTGGTTAAGATTTATGTAGAGGTGAAGGACAGTGAAAAGTCAGTAATCAACAAGATGACATAGCCCAATCTACATATTTGAAAAACTACTTTCGATCAGAATGCACTCAATGGTAGAACACATACTTTGCATGTATGATGCCCTGGGGTCTGTCAGCGGTATCAAAAACAGTGAAAAAGTAGCTTTAGGAATTGCTTTTTGGGTCATACCCAGCATTCTGGCTCTGCATTCAGGAATTACTTCTGGCGGTGCTCAGGGGACCATATGGGATGCTGGGAATCGAACCCGGGTCTGCCACGTGCAAGGAAAACGCCCTACCCGCTGTGCTATGGCTCCAACCCCTAGCTTTAGGAATTGATGACAGTAATCCAAGTCTAAGATATTAGTAGTTTGGGGCTGTATCAGCATGATAAATAATTTTAAGCCTATCAAATACTTTGATTTTTTTTAATGGCATCAATTTTTTAAATTTTCAAATTGAAGGACTCTCTTTACCTCTATCCGTAGAAGTTCCTCTTGTAATAATATATCTTTCGTTATGCTGAGAAACTAATTCTGCTTTCTTTTTAAGAGAAAAGAAACCCTGTTTATCCCCTCTGAAAATGAGAAGATTTCTAAACAGCTCCACCTTTGTTACAATATTGTGAAAGATCATTATGTTCGCATTTCAAATAATAATGAAACCATTTCTGGATGGGAGAATGGTGTGTGGAAAATGGAATCCATATTCAGAAAAGTTGAAACAGACTGGAACATGGTAATTTAATGCATGAAATAGTTTAAAATCTTTGTAATTGCTTAAACAAATATAGGTCAGCTTCATTTTTCAGTTGTGTGTGGGATAAAATTTTGTGTGGGCACTGGAGAGATAGAACAGAGGTACTTGCACACAGCAAACCCTGGTTCAATCTCTGGAACCCACGCATACGGTCCCTCAAGCACCACCAGAAGTGATCTCTGAGCACAGAGCTAGTAACAGCCCTGAGCACTGCCAGATGTGTCCCTCAAACCAGGGGAAATTGTTTGTAATTTTAATTTTGAAAACATTTAGATTACTTATCATTCTGGTTTTGCTTTGGGGACCACATCTAATGGTGCACCCAACTTATTCTTGGCTCTGAGCTCAGAGATCACACCTAGTGGTGCTCAAGGGATGGTATGGGATGCGGGGATTGAACCCAAGTCAGCACAGCAAGCAAGCACCCTGCCTACTGTACTATAGCTCCAGCCCTATAGTAATTCTGAAACTTAGTTAAAGAAAATCCTGCTCCCTGTACTGGGTCTATCAAAAGCCCATTCAAAATTCATGCCTTGGTATCATTCATTATCTCCCAACACTTTGAGCCATATTATTACCACCTGGGGTGCTGGAACAATCCAAGGTATTGATGGTGTCCATGGGTACCCGTACGGGAGTAGTGGGGACCAGGCATTTCTGTTTTCCTAAAAGAAAATGATAGATTTCCAGGGGGATACTGAGTGACTTTTTTTTTTTTTCTGAAAACGGAATGGTCAGTCAAATAAGTTTAGGAACCTCAGATAAATTTTTTTTTTAATCAAAGAGACAAAATTTAATTCTTTCATGGGCAAAAATAATCAAATGTATGCCAATTCCTGTGACCGGTTTTTGCATGAGTATGTAAAGTAGATTGTTACTTAATTCTTTCACAGATAATTATTGATTGCATCGTAGACTATAGGGGTGCATAACAAATTTAGTTCAAAGTTTCAAAAGCTGTACATCTAATATCCTTCTGTAAGAATGTGGTTGATTGAGGGAGCCAGAAAGAGTACAGTGGGTAAGACGCTTGCCTTGCATGAGGCTGACCTGGGTTTAATCCCTGATACTCCATGCGTCCTCAGAGCCTGCCAGGAGTGATCCCTGAGTGTAGAACAGTGAGTAAGCCCTGAAGTCCTGAGAACAACCGGTGTGGTCCAAAAAGAACAAGAAAAAAGGAATATAAGTGTTTGAGCAACCATTGGTTATTCTGTCTGTTCTTAAAAATAAAGACATGGAAGTTGGAAGGTTGCTATAGTTCACTTACACTAACTTGTACTTCTCACCTGTTAAAATCATGAGAAGCTTTGCTTCTCTACTGCCCTTTCCTTTGGGGGAAATAAACTCAATACAATATTCTCTGTAGATCAGGCTACCATATTGTTGATGGATTTTCTTAGCAATCAAGTTATGGAAAATGCTTGAAAGTGAACTTCCAAAATGGTTGGCTGGGAAGGAAGTTGTTGTTCTAAGTCAAATTGGAAAGATTTTTTTAAAGTGAGCTACGTTTTAATATCTTATTGACTATGGGCCTCCACCATGCGCTTATCACTATGCTAGGCAAACAGGACAGAAGTTAAACAAGATAAGATCTGCTCATTTTATCCAACCGTGAGTTTTGTTCTAAAACTTAAGTTGGTGTATCAAACCAAGATTGAACCAAGAATAACTTGGAGGATTATTAAAAATTACAGCTACAGGAATTTTTGTCATTAAAGAGGATAAATCAAATGATAAAATCTGAAATGTGTATCTGTGTGTATGTGTATCTGTGATAATATAGTTTCTGAGAGAGGATGAAAAACTTCTGAAGGCTAACCTTATTCTAAAAATTCCTGCAAATGGAAAACGGCTAGAATAGGTTATTTGCACTAAGGAATAGTCTGTGCTGAAGTAAGGAAAAGCATGCCTCTCTAAATAACCAGCAGTGTTAGTGGAGAGAACTATGATATGCTGCAAAAAATGGGATATCCTGAGAAATAGGTCTTCTCAGTGGTAGATGTATTTTTCCTTTACCTGACGAGTTCATTTGTTTAGATTATTAGTTCGAACGTGTCCTTACCAGTAAACATTTACTGCACCCCTGTTGTGTCAGGCATTGTTCTCAGCTACCTTGATAAAAAAATGAAAATACAGTTTTGCCCTCACAGTCTAACAAGGGAAATTGGAGCATAAACAGCCATCTTTTAGCCACGAAGTAGAGTGCTATAATAAGGATATCAACACATTGCTATGGAAACACCGAGGAGGGAGTAATTAGCTCTGGCTGTGGGAGTTGGGCAAAGCTCCACCAAGCAGGCGACATTTGAGCTGGACTCTGAAGGATGAGGAGGTGTTCACAAGGCAGGGGAACAGCAGGGAAAATCATGGCATGGACATGGCATGTTTGGAGATCTCTAAATAGAACATGGTCGCTAGAGAGAGTGTATTGTATGAGAAAGATTTAAATACTGGGAATGAGATGCGAAGGCCATTAAATGAGAAGCAGGCCCCAATTCAAGTCAAGTTTGCCTTCTTAGACTTTCACAAAGGGTGTTATTTTTTTTTAAGTAAACAAATACATTTCCGGTTACAATACCAAATGGAAAAGTAAATGCTAGACTCTTAACTGCACCCATGTATTACTCTCCCTAAAACAGTATTTGGGGTTATGGCCTAGACTTCATTGGAACCTTTTTCCCACTATACCTTTCTTCATGAATCATGCAAGGTATTTAAAACAGTCTTTGTACCCTCTCCAGTGGGGGTGGGAGGAGAATAAAGGAACACAGAACACTGTTCAGGAGCACAAAGACTTTATTAAATGTTATTAGTTAACAAATCTATTATTCAGTGACTGAAAGGAATATGAAAAGCTAACTCGGGAAGATGAGCATACTTTTCAGGAGGCGAGTGATTGCACCTTGAAAAACTTGGTATTAGTAGCTTCCCCACTAATCTCCCTGACTTGCCTCAGTCCCTTTAAAGATGGGCTTTCTGGGTCTGGAATGATAGCATAGCAGGTAGAGCATGTGCCTTGCCCACGGCCGACCCAGGTTCGATTCCCAGCATCTCATATGGTCCCCCGAGTACCACCAGGAGTAATTCCTGAGTGTATGAGCCAGGAGTAACCCCTGTGCAATGCCAGGTGTGATCCAAAAATTTAAAAAAAATTTTTTTTTAAAGATGGGCTTTCTTCGTGCTGTGACCAGAAAGACATTTTCAAAACCTCTCTCATTGCTGAGAGCTTAAGTAAGAAACAGCTTGCCTCTCTTCCCACGGTCACCCTTGCCTACTTGTCAGACCTGGCCTTGCAGTTGCTCTCTGTGTCAAATTTGGCACTGCCCTCTTCACAAAACCATCTTGACTTTACTTTTTAGTTGCTGAACTTTTACTCAGAACTTGGTATAAGCCTGTTCTCTCCAGTGTCAGGTCACTGGATCTGTTTTCTCTTTTATTGACTCATTTGTACCATGCATGACATTTGACCAACAAATATGTGCACAAATATTTATTGCACTCCTAGATTGTAAACATATCCCAGACTTGCCTTTTTTCCACTCAGTTTTTCACTCTAGGTATTCATATGTCTAGTATAATGCTAACAAATTCTTAGTAAAGAGAGGTGAATGTAAAAATGATTGAGTGTATATCGTGAAAATGTTGCATCTCCATAGGGCTCTATTTTCATTCAGACTATGTCGTTTCCATGTTCCCTGGTCTTTTGAGTAGTTTCAATTTTTGAACAGTTTTATCTTCACAAAATTGTGTCAATTTTGAACACTTTGGGTGCATGCCATGTTAGGAACTGATTTTAGTCATTAAATCAACATGTACTTTGTCAGATTTTATAATTGTTTTTCTTTTGGGACCACACCTAGCAGTGCTCAGGGCTTACTTTTTTTCTCTGTTCTTGGGAATCACTCCTGGCGAGGCTTAGGCTATATGGGATGTGAGGGATCAAATGTGGATGGACCATTGTAATGTAAGTGCCATTCTGTGATACCAAGGGATGAAAGACAGGAGGAAAAATCATTACCCCTTCTTAAGTCAGAGAAGACCCTGCAGAAGTAGGGAGGCTTAGTGGGCTTTTGGAGAAGATGCTGTTGGAGTTGTTTTTAGTGCAGCGGCAGGATATTGAAGGGGAGGAATGTGTTCTAAGACATGCAAGATAAGGCAGACCAAACCACTGAGATGAGAACTAACCGGCATATTCAGTAAAGAGTAAAGTAGGGACTATGGGGAGATATTGTAGAAATGAAGAACAGGGGTAAACAGTTGTCAGGTTTCAGAGACCTGATTACCTTGCAATTATGTAATAAAAGGAATGAAAGAGCTCAGTCAAGGGAAAGGATATGGTCGGATCGGTGGTCCAGAGATAATACCACAGGCTGTAAATGGAATAAATCAAAAGCACAGAACTGAGATCCTTAAATACAGTGGGAATTGATAGTGATTCATGTTTGATTGTCTGATAAAAGGGAATAACCAAAAAATAATAATAATAAAATTCTTGGGTAATGTCAATTTACCAGTATTAAAATCCACTGAAATAACGCTCAACTGAATATCTGTAGGAATGACTGACTTGTGGGGTGTCTGTGGTATGGTGCTCTTAATTAGAGTTCATCTTTGCAGCCTAAGCAGAAGAATAATTTTATGAGTATATTAAAGATGATTCAAACGGCTGGAGCGATAGCACAGCGGTAGGGCGTTTGCCTTGCACGCAGCCAACATGGCCAACCCGAGTTTGATTCCTCCGCCCCCCTCGGAGAGCCCAGCAAGCTACCAAGAGTATCTCGCCCACACGGCAGAGCCTGGCAAGCCACCCGTGATGTATTCGATATGCCAAACACAGTAACAACAAAATCTCCAATGGAGACGTTACTGGGCCTACTCGAGCAAATCGATGAACAACAGGAGGGCCTTTACCTTTACCTTACAAACTGAAACTCCAGGAAACCATACTAGTGGATATACCAACCTTGCATGTAATGAAA